TACAGTATTATTGTGAGGTATTATTACAATTTAAAATTACTGTTTTATATTTTAAAATGTACATTTTTAATTAATTTTCTGCATTTTCTTCTGGATTTTAAAACATCATTCATTTGTAATAGAAACCGTTTGTAACATTAAAAAAAGTCTTCACTTCTGATCAATTTAATGCATCCTCGTTGAATAAAATTGTCAGTTACCTGAAATTGATCTTCCCAGACTGAATCTCTCCTTCTCTCCATTGGCTGGATTTGTCTTGTGGGTTGAGAGGCCCTTCTAAAATATGTTTCCACAAATAAAGTCCTAGGAAAAGGTAAACAAGGAACATTATCTCATTTATGCTCTCTACTAATGCAAAAAATGAAGACACAACAAGCAATGCAATGATCTCTGGAACCAAAAAAAAAAAACATATTGCACTTGCCAATGGCCGCTTTGGCCCAGATCTGAACTTTATATGTTTTTGGCCTGTTCTTAGCTGCATGAGCTTGGTGTGATCTGAAGGCATCTCTCCGCTTCTGCAGAACTAAGGAATATGCATGTTCATCCTCTTCCCATGGGTTCCACTCTTCCTCTCCTGCTTTTCCATTATCTGGAAACGTACATTATTAAACAAATCTGTTTACACTCCATCATCAATTGATATGCTTTTATTGCATTTACACTATATTATATTGTTTATGTTTATTACAACAAACCTATTAGATGATGCAGGTTATGATTAATTGGCTTACCTATAATCACATAGCCCTTTTTTACCACGCGATGAACGCGAGAAACAACCCTCTTGTTGAAAAATACATTATACGCTGCATACAACGAAAATACTGCATAAGCCAAAACAACTATGATCCCTATTTTCCGGCGTAAAAATCTCATGTTTAATTTTCAGGTGACCATCCTGCGGATTCCCGACCAGTGAACACATTTTTGGTTTTGAGTCGGATCTTTTTAATGAATTGGTTCACGTTTGAACGATTCGTTCTCAAGCGCGAGAACCGATTAGTAAGCTGAGAAGAATCAGATGACCGGTTCACAAAAACTGTTCAAAAGAACCGATCCGCAGAAATGAGTCGAACGTCTCGTCACTACTGTTTACGTTTTCCCGAGACTGCCTTGTACTGCCTGTTCAAAACTATAACAATTATCAGAAATATTTAAATATTTCAACAAATATATTGAAAATAAGATGAGGAGCTAATTAAAAATGTATTGTATTTATCATTTAAATAGCTTTGTGTGAGGAATTATTTTATCATCTCTGTTTTACTTTGCCCTTTCTGTTCAGTAAATACCCAGTCAACTATGAAGCACCGAGGGAGGAGCTTCCGCAGTACAAGCTCTCTCTTCAAAGGTCGGTGTGACCATAGACATAAGAAATACCTAGACTCCTCATTGGCCGCTCGACCGCACGTCAACGTCGCCGCCATATTGGTGCGGGCAACTCTCATATCGGGACAGAAGAAAAAATACCTGACTCGTCGGCAGCTTGGGCATCTACAAACCGTCGCACAATAATAAAAACAGTTTTTTTTTTCCTTTTTACCCAATTGCAAACAGGACAACGAGGAAAGCTGAAGAAAGCCTGTCCTCTGCATTAGTTCTCTGAGAGTAGGCTATACTTCCAATACTTCCACGGTTGATAAATGTAAACGTTATCGTGTTTTTATCCAGAAAAAACCGCAGCTTCTCCGTTTACCTCCATTTATTTTTAAGGCAGTCTTGCCTTCACAAACATGGCGGACGCGTTGACGTATCACTGCAACGGCTCAAAGCGGCCAATGAGGCGTCTAGGTATTTATATGTCTATGGGTGTGACCGTACGGGCTGTATGTAGCCTTTTAACCGCACAAAAGTGATGTCTCTGCCCGCTCGTTTGGGGGCTTTCTCCCCTTACCTGCAGGCTTGTGGTCCGCTGAAAGCGTTACTTCCCGGAGCAGGGAACACAGAAGTGCTGGTGAAGTCTGCTGTGTGCGGTAGGTGACCACATAACGGGGACATATCATGACAGGCTGTTCACAACTCTTGATATTCTAGACCAGTATCGGGTGTAATGCATGACTTGTAATAAATTACTGTCATTTAATCACTTTTCCCTTGAAAAAAGTAAAGTAACGGATTACTTTACTGAATTCTGTGTAATTTAATTACAGTTACATCTGATGTAATTGATGTAAAAATGTACAGACTATAGAATCATGTTATATAAAGCAATAGTGAATTTAACATCTAACTACCATCGTTAAATTTTATGTTTTGATGTAACCTTGTCCCTTTAAAATTCCTTGGTCAGTTCAAGATTTTTTTTTTTAAATTTTATAAGATTTATTTGAAAGAATTAAGAGCAGTTATATGTCTATCCTTATTGTTCAACTGGTTGAGGCTGATGTAGGGTTTAGAAAGTAATTAGTAATAAGTAATGCAAACTTTTTAGAGAGAGAGTAATTAGTAATCTAACTACAGTGTTGAAGATGTAATTAGTAGCTAGTAGTAATTACTTTTTTACAGTAACTTACCCATCAGTTCCAGACTAATGTTTGTTGTGCTACAAAAATAGTCTAAAAATTAAAGGTCTGAATAAGATGTCTTTGTATTACTTTATTTAAATATATGTACTTGTTCTGCTTGTTGTGGTTCCATTGTTGCATACCAGACCTCATTCTAATACAGTAATTAATCCTATAATAAGTCATATTATTGACATTATATGTATATTATATGTGTGACCCTGGACCACAAAACTAGTCATAAGTCTCAATTTAAAAATTGACCCTTATGACTGGTTTGTGGTCCAGGTTCACATATCATATAAAACTATAAATTAATATCTTTATATGAATTATTTATAGATGCAATAAAATAGGTTAAATCCCTTTATATATATACAGTGGGTACAGAAAGTATTCAGACCCCCTTAAATTTTTCACTCTTTGTTATATTGCAGCCATTTGCTAAAATCATTTAAGTTAATTTTTTTTCCTCATTAATGTACACACAGCACCCCATATTGACAGAAAAACACAGAATTGTTGACATTTTTGCAGATTTATTAAAAAAGAAAAACTGAAATATCACATGGTCCTAAGGGGGTCTGAATACTTTCCGTACCCACTGTATATATATGTGTGTGTGCGCAATATATATGCAATGACCATTCTATATCCTTTTTAGGCCATTTTGGAGCACGTCTCACTCACACCGACATCAAAATCCCTGACTTCTCTGACTATCGGCGTGTTGAGGTGTTGGATCCCAAGAAGTCCTCTCAGGAAAGTGGCGATGCTAGACGGGCCTTCTCTTACCTGGTGACCGGATCCACTGCTGTGGTGGGTGTCTATGCTGCCAAAACGGTCGTGACCCAATTCGTGTCCTCAATGAGTGCCTCTGCTGACGTCCTGGCCCTGTCCCAAATCGAGATCAAGTTGTCCGACATCCCAGAGGGGAAAAACATGGCCTTCAAGTGGAGAGGCAAGCCTCTGTTTGTTCGTCACAGAACAGAGAAGGAGATCGCAGCCGAGCAGAGCGTAGATCTCTCGGAGCTCCGGGACCCCCAGCATGACAAAGACCGCGTCACCAACCCCATCTGGGTCATCGTCATTGGTGTCTGCACTCATCTCGGCTGTGTCCCAATCGCAAATGCCGGTGATTACGGCGGGGACTACTGACCC